ACGGCTGTCACGGTTAAACTTCATATTATTTCGGGTCCGAAAAATTAGTAAATATTCTTCAGACGTTCTAAAGTAAAGGTGAACAGCGTTTTTCTTAAAAATATCACTGTTATGTAGTAAAACAAATCCGGAAAGTTCTCGCTTCGTGACTTGTTCAATACTTCGAACGCGGCTCGAGTCCGTCCCGACTTTCTGTCAAAGCCTCGTGCTGCGGACTCTCTCTCTCTCTCTCTCTCTCTCTCTCTCTCTCTCACACACACACACACACACACGCACGCGCGCGCGCGCGCGCACACACACACACACACACACACACACACCGTCACCTCTCATTGGCCAGTGTTTTTCGTTAATAACTCGTAAACAAAGCCGCAGATTGCATTTTCGCAAAGGAAAAAGTTACTTCAAATGACCTCAGCTACCCCTAATTTTCGGCTGTTAAAATAATTGTGGAACACCCTGTATAGTGGCTTGCTCTAGTAGCAGTGAAAATGTTTCAAGAATTTCAAGACACCGTCGCATTATTTTGTATTTATTAGAATGATTAAGAAAACAAAAATAAACGTACGTCTAGCTCTTGTAACAAACGCGGGCAATTTTGATTTTGCACAGCAAACTCATTGCTCACTGCATGTTATCCGTGTATCCCTGCGCCGTGTACTTTGCATATTTTTCGTGCATATTTTGCATATTTTTCGTGCATGAATATCGCATGCATTTTACATATTGATCGCGCAGAAACTTCCGCGGTCTAGCGATGAGACATGGGTCTACACGGCTACGATCCTGGGACAAGAAACCAATCTTCGCAGTGGAAGACGGCCGAAGAACAGCGAGCCGAGAAACGCGTCGGCGGGCAACTGTTGGCAATTCCGACGGATGAGTTTCAAAAGTGCTCCCTCAAGTGGGGGAGGGTTCGCTGAGAGAAGGTTGTGGTATTCCGTGGAGAGTGCGCGTATCGAAGGGGACATAGTTACTATAGAGAACGATTAACCCTTTCGACTGACGTGCCGCGAAAGAAGGCTTGTTTCCGGACAGAGCTCGCCGCGTTCGACGGAATCGAAGGCCGAAGGAACTTCTCCCCTACAGCGATAATCCAAGGAAGTGTCGACAACCTTGCACCGGTTCTGGCCACGCTGAGGAATTATTATGAATTTCAACGCTAACAGTCTTGAAGACTTCCCCATTAGGTAAGAAATGCGCAGGTTTTAACCTTTTAGGCCCGACGCGCCACTATAGTGGCTTGCTCTAGTAGCTCACTCGCTCATCGTTTGAACCAAATAATCGTCTTCGTATGCATTGTTTCACACTTCTTTTGTCTTCACGTCGATTTACAACAGTCTCCAGGCTGTCCCAAAAATGTCTCGCAATCCGGAAATGGCGGGCTCCTCGGATCATTTGAAGCAACTTCTTCCTTTACAAAAATGTCCTCTGAGGCACCGTTAACGAGTTATTAACGGAAAACAGTGACCAATAAGAATCGAGTACGGCTGACGCGAGGCGGCCCAGCCAACCGGTGCACGAAGCCCGGTTCCGCGCATTGGCTCGGTCGCCTTGCGCCAGCCGAGCTCGCCTCTCATTGGTCACCGTTTTTCGTTGATAACTCGTTAACGGTGCCTCAGAGGACATTTTTGTAAAGGAAGAAGTTGCTTCGAATGACCCGAGGAACCCGCCACTTTCGGATCGCGAGACATTCTTGGGGCACCATGTAGAACAGAATCGTTTCGCGTTTCTACGCGTCCACGGGGGACTCGTTGCGGCGTGCCGCGATTTTCGGGCACACACGACTCGCCGATAAATTATCGAAGCGGACGATATCTCGACCTTCGGTGTTCCATCGTGCGCCCTATTGTAAATTTATGGGTTATCGCGTGTATAGACGCAACGGCGCGGAAGAACGCGCGATATCCTTGCTCTCGGTTTTATGGCGGAGGCGGAGAAAATTTGCGAGATCCGTATCCCGCGGGAATAAACGCGGGACGAGACTCTGCAGCGTCCATTGCGGATAATAGCTGGATGTGTACCGCGCGATTCCGCGTACATATTTAGACTTACCGAGTGGCTCGTTTAAGCGTTAACGTCGAGATATCTCCGGCAACCGCCGGGATAAAATGGTTCGAACAAAATAACCGCGGTACCATTCCTCCCGGGTGTTCGCAAGAATGTTAATATCGTAAAATGTTGGTCCGTTTATCGTTGCGTCGCGACTCGACTCCGACTCGGCACGACTCGACTCGGCTCGGCTCGACGCGAGCACACCCCGCACCGTATCGCGTTCGTTCGGTACATTTGCAAACTGTTTACTGTTTTCCTCGTGTGTAGTTACCGCACGGCGGGTAGTGGGATACGTGGATACATCCTTCGGTTATTATCATCGTTTCAGGGACCGTAAAATACGAATTCGTTGTTGAACGAATGCGTTTTATAGCGGGGATAGGTCGATATCAATGAGAAAGTTGTGTCGTTGCGCTTAAGCTAATTTAGAACGATAATTTATATGCTTGCTGGCGATCGTTCGTATCGACGCCATGTTGCAGCGAAAACCATAAGCGCCGACTTAGGTGCTTATTATGTGAGGACTATACGGATTTCGTTATCATCTATTGATTAGCCTACAGCAGGGGTGTCAAACTCAAAAGCTAACTTGGGCCAAATAAACAATGCTTAACTTTAGGTGGGCCGTTCATAGAAACAAATATTTTTATTTTGACTAGTACATTGTAATAAACATATATAAAGTTAAATTATTGTTTACGTCCTGATACTTGACATCAAAAATGTTCATCCCGGGTCGCGAGTTTGACACCCCTGGCCTACAGCAAATTTTCCTTCTCTAGTTTCATTGTCCTTTTTCTAAAATCTCCCCTTCCCTTTGATTCCTAATTCCTCTTACTACATTCTTCTTCCTTTTTTTTCTTTATTTCCTTTCCCCAGAGCCAACCCTTTTCTTCCCTAAACCCTTCCTTTCCTGGTTTCCTTCCTTCTCTAAATTCTTTCCTTCCGTGAACTCATTTTTTCCTTCTCAAGATCCTGCTTTCCTTTGATCCTACCCTTCTCTGGCTATCTGTACCCTCCCCCTTTTCATTGCAAGTTATTCCTTATTAACGACACACATCCACGCAGCTTAATTAAAAAGACGGCATTACAAGAATTAATAAAATATAGGGGACAACACACAGTCCAACACATATTTGTACATTTAGTACATTTTCAATGTACGAGCGGGATAATAAGCGAGATATAAATCGGAGAGAATATCATTCTAATATAATAAAATAATAATAAAATAATAATATAATAATAATAAAATATTATTGACGTGAAAACAGAAGTTTATTTCGACCCTAAAAGGAATGGAACAACATTCATACTCAACAGTTTAGCATTAAAAATTTTCATTGCGAGACAAACTTGACAAACTCTGGCGGGGATTAATATAAAAGAAATGCTTAAATATTCGGAAAAGTTCATCCTAAATAAACTGAAATTTCTGTGCAGATTCTGCGATGGAAAAGGTGCTTGTGGCGGCATCTCTGGCAAACTTTCGAACTATGTTCTCCATCCAATTCCGAACGGTATCCTAGTCTCCTGATACGTACGCGCGAAACATGATGAGTAAAGAGATGATCAGACAAGGACAGACGTATATAATATATTGGGTTGTCCGGAAAGTTCGTGCCGACTTTTTAGGAAAATTAAAACGCAGCTCATTTAGATATTGGAGCCAAACTTCACAGTATGATCGCGGATGGTTGATTTTGATTTATTTAGCATTCCTGCTAATTGACGTAATGTTGAACGTGGGTTATTCTCGATTTCTGTTCTCATCATATCTTCGTCTGTGGTGGACGGCCTACCTGGGCGTTCTTGATCTTCAAGGTCGAAATTTCCAGCTTTAAACCGAGCAAACCACTTCCGCACAGTTTTTTCGGCTACAGCATCCTCGCCATAAACAGCGCATATTTTATTTGCCGCTTGTGGCATTTTTGCCCTTTCGGAAAAAGAAAAGCATTAAATGCCTATAATGCACTTTATTTGCCACCATATTCTAAGGCGTACAAAACTGGTAAAAATTAACGAATCGTAACCAAGCTTTTTTCCAAATATGGCTGAAGTTATCTCTTTTAGAATATGTACACATGTCATTTGTTTTCAATAATTGTGATGTATTCAGTTAGGTCTCTCACGCTACCTACCGGAAATCGGCACGAACTTTTCGGACAACCCAATATATTAGAGAGAGAGAGAGAAGAACAGACAGACAAATCGGTTTTGTCGACGGAAAATAAATTAATAACCCTGTTTTCATTACAGAATTACCAATATTTGCAATTCAAGAATGTGAAATAGATCGTTGAGAATTTCCACATTGCATTTTTCGTCGGATTTTTAGCTTGAAATAATAGTTAGTGGTTATGAAGAGTTATTTAAATTTATGTTCTAAAATAAATTAATAGTTTTCCAACTTTATACAATAAAAAAGTCTTGAATGAGGACCCGATTATCTTCCTAATATAATTTTAGACGAATTTCGATCTGAATTAAATAGTTATTAACAACTTTTATAAATTTGCTGATGGAACTGAAACCTATAAGTTCTGGCATCTGTTCGGGTACTAATTTTTCGATTGAAAGCACCTAATCGCTGATGTTTCATAGTTCCTGTCTGAAATTAATCGTCAACAATTTTTTTATAGTACATACTGCGTTATCTCACAAGACTTCTAACATTACATATTTTCTGCTATTCACAATATTTGTTCACGCATCTTTAGAATCCTAGAAGCTTATCTGAATCTTGATAGTTTGCGATAGCGTTGCAATACAAAATTTGTGCATAATTAATTAATTCACACTTCGTAACGCAAGGTGCCATAATAACATGATGGCGCCATCTAACAGTGACCACCAATTTTAATCGACTAGAGCTCCAATGTCCTATCATAAGTGGCGCCACCGTTCCAAATTTTAAATTGCAGTAAGAACCACTTATAATTAATTACATTTATGTACCTGTGGAATTTGCTTGCTTAGTTTAGTTGAAGTTCTGCTTTTCTTTAACTTATCTTTTTCCAGACCATTAAATAAGAGTTGTAATGACAGTTCTGTGAACTGGTGTAAGAAGAAATTGTAATGTCATTCGTGATTGGAATGATCTCATGAGAAACACGTGTATGTTGCGCCACGTGCTAACCTAAATCTGTTTGTAAACATTCACTTTCGATTGACACACGGGGCACAATGACGTTTGCCGGATTAAACTTGAGTCCGTGGATAGTCAATCAATGTCAAAATATGGGTAAGTTTCTATTTAAATGTCTAAGCTATCACAAAAAATGTATCCGATATATGGGATTGTTGTTTGTCTCAGGTCTGAAGAAACCTACTCCAATTCAGGAGAATTGTATCCCCAAAATTCTAGCAGGTGAAGATTGTATCGGATGTGCAAAAACTGGCAGTGGAAAAACACTTGCGTTTGCACTTCCTATAATTCAGAAATTATCTGAGGATCCTTATGGCATATTTGCTTTGATCTTGACACCGACCAGAGAATTGGCTTTTCAAGTATGTTTTAATATTTAATTGTTTCTTCATGAAATCTCTAATTGCAAGAATTATAACGAAAGACGTGTAGATTGCAGATCAATTCTCGGCGATAGGGAAATCTATCAGTCTGAAAAAATGTGTAATCGTTGGTGGAATGGATATGGTTACACAAGGCTTGGAACTATCGAAATGTCCACATATAGTTGTTTCTACTCCAGGACGTTTGGCAGATCATTTAGAAAGCTGCAACACATTTTCTTTGGCGAAAATTAAATTTCTAGTTCTGGATGAAGCCGATAGACTTCTTGGTGGTCATTTTGATGAACAGATAAAAACTATATTCAGTGCTTTGCCTCAAAAAAAGCAAATTCTCCTTTTTAGCGCAACAATGACGGACACTCTTGATAAAGTAAAACATGTTGCATCTAATAAGGTACGAATTATTATACATAGAAATGAATACACTGCGTTTTTGGAAGATATCTAACTACAACAATTACCTTTAAAGGTTTTCATGTGGGAATCTAATGATGACACTGGTGTAGCTACGGTTAAAGAACTAGACCAACGTTATGTACTTTCCCCAAGTGACGTACGCGACTCATTTTTAGTAGAAGTAGTTAAAACATTTAGATCTAGTAACAAGGATGGATCAATAATGATATTTACAAATACGTGCAAGTAATTATAAACACAGCATTCAATAATATAATATAAACAAACAATGTCTTATTAGCATTTGTTTTCTAGGAATTGCCAAGTATTGTCTATGACGCTGAATGAAATCGGCTTTAAAAATGCAGCCCTTCATGCAATGATCAAACAGAAAGATCGACTTGCTGCACTTAGCCAATTCAAATCTAATCATACGAAAATTTTAATAGCTACAGACGTTGCGGCGAGAGGTTTAGATATCCCTGCAGTAGAATTAGTCATCAATCATGTTGTACCGAATGTGCCAAAAGAATACATTCACAGAGTCGGTCGAACGGCTAGAGCTGGTAAAGGAGGCATGGCTGTTACTTTAATCACTCCTCACGATATCAAATTGTTGCATGCCATTGAGGATACGATAGGAACGAAATTGACAGAGTACAAAGTTAATGGTAAAGTATTGTTAAATCGATTAAATTAATTCGAACGACTTAAAAGACCGAAACGATTGAAGGCAATATTTCTACACAGACAAAGAGATAGTTACGATGCTCACGCAAATATCGGTAGCTAAAAGGGAAGCGGAAATGCAATTGGACGAGACAGATTTCTATGAGAAGAGAATGATTAATAAGCGTAAGAAACTCATTCTCGAAGGGAAAGATCCAGATGAAATCGAGGAAATATTAAAGAAGAAGAGGTCCGACAAATTAAAGAAGAACAAAAAAAGGAAACTTGCAGAGAAAGCATCATAATGCAGATAAATGCAATTAGCTCAAGATTTATTATCTGAAAAAAATTTCTTTAGGGTAACTCACCTAACAGTTTCACCTAAAATGTCCACATTAATTGCTAATTCAGAAAATATGTAAGGTAAAAACACCGTAGATATTTTACAGAAATGTTATGTGAGTCACCCTGTATAATTATATAATATATAACAAGTTAAATTATTGTTATGCCATACTTATATAGTTTTTCAATTGATAAAAGGCACATAGTTATTTGTATGTGTAATATATGATTATGATTACATTTATATTCGGTATAAAAAATGTAAGAAAATATTTACTTGTACAAATCTCCCTTTGCTAATTATTAATCATAAGAGAAAAGTATAGAACAACCACAAAATATGTAGTCTACGAGGTGCTTTCAGTCACATTTTTTAAACGAAAAATCGAATAAATAAAGAAATAACTTTTTACATTATAATAACTTTACGATGTGATATAATATTTTTGAATATTGCACAGATTATATAGAACATTCCTATTTACAGGCGACAAAGCATATGCAGCGAAAGATAATTAAGTGAAACTTCGTAGTCAATTATTAACGTAATATTACTTTTCTTTTTAAGTTGATGAATGATTTGGGGACTACATATTTGGCAAGTATCATAACACTTATACTTTAAGCTATTCTTTATGAGTGTAAATAGTACGCGGCAAGATGACAGACTGCACATTTTAGAGGTGTGCTCTCATTTTTTCTTCATTCTGAATTAAGTTTAATTTACCCAAAAAAGCGTAAAGTTCTCCAATATATTCTCTCGGATATGTGTATAAATGTCCGACATGTGGAGATTTGTCAAATATCTTGACATATGTCTGCAAGGAAAAGACACCAATATAGTTCTCTTATTTCATTCAGTTCTAATTCTTACCTTGACACCATTGATAACCCATTGATCATGTACTCTCATATTATCTCTTATATTACCAATAGTGTCCACTTTACTTATGTAGAATAATGCTGGGGTGTGCACTAAATTCGTATGAAACAATTGACTAGATCGCACGTAGTACTGAGTAGACTGCTTGTAAAATGTTCGTAAGTGATACCTTAAAATCATTTTGATGTGAAATTAGAATTAGGACACCGAGTGTGTGTATAATTAGATTAGATGATCAACTTACTCTAAATACTTTTGGAGCACATTCTGTAATACATGGTTTTTCGGAAATACAGCGGGTGGTATACCCGATGCTATTTCGGGTACATCGACCACACTGTCCCAGACTTGACCGACAACCATATTGATGATATGAGAATACTTTTCACGGTCGCTTTGCATTAAATCCATTACTTCTCCCCACATGTATGCACCCACTGAAAACCCATGTAATAATATCTGCTGGTTACGCTCGTACTGTACTAAGAAATCAAGCAAATCTGCAGCAACCATCTAAAACAAAAACTTCTGATTATATTTCACCTTTACCTTTTTTTATGTCTACTTACCCTAGACCCTTTGGTAGGCCACATCAATTGCCAAGGAGTGAGTGTCACCAGTGCAACATCGAAGCCTTGCTCTGTATACAGATTCACAAACTTCATAATATGTCTACGTTTTGCCATTAACCAGCTCAACATAACTAGCAACGGTTTGTTATCAACATTTTTGTACTTCTCCATTCGACCCTCAGGAGTCTTAATCTTTTTATCATGCGAGATATATTCGATGTTCTTTGTAACATGATAACTGGATAGCTTACACACCAACAGCAGCAAGGTCTGATTTAGTAAACAACATTCGTTAGAACATAAACCTTTTTAAGAAACGAAGCGTTAGAAATATTTTACACATATTAAAGTAACAAAAGAACAAATTTATATTACCAAATCTTGTTTTTGACTTAACAATTGAGGCTGAGGGTATCTAAACAGTCGTGTTCTTGACAAAGTGGATGACAGAATTCTCCCAATAATCATTGTTGCTACTTCAATCCTCTTGCTCTAAACTGTACTGAACTAATTTTGAAAAACATATTTATTTTTAGTGATGGATACAAACAGAAATAGATGTTTTCGAAAAATAATATACATATAGTACTTGACGTTTAATGGTGGCTACGCTAGGTTAATAAATTATACCTATTCAGTAAAGAAGTGTGAACTAGTGGAAATCCGTTAGATCTAATCTATTATTAGAAGTTCGAAATTATTCCAGATTGCATATTATTCGACAGCGTGTTGACGGAATTGACGGAACGGGTCGAAGTACAACCTAAAATCAACTTGAAATCAATTAACTCATACGTGACATTTTTATACGCTAAAGTAGCATATTGCTTCTTTTTCTTTGTTTTTTTCTTTTCTATGTCGCGTCGTCTCTGTCGTCTGTCTGTCTGTCGATTTAAAGGGTCGTAAGCGCGAATATCAAATTTCATTACAGTTTCCCTTTTATGCTTTACATAACATTTTACGGGGCATCGTATGACATAAGAACACTGCAGATCCCCTTCAACATTTTTACCATCTGATTTTTCCCACTGATCATGTCAGCAAAAGTTACAGGCACGGAAACTTACGGGATCCGTTTTGGTAATGCAGAGTTTTCAACTGTATCACGAATATTGAAATCGAAAAATTTATGCCTTGCACTTTCAATAACAAATACATTTCACTGTATGGCAGCTGACAGTTAATTTCCTTGGTTCTTATTGATAATATGGGAAACGAATTAAAAAATGAAGGCGATCGTTTATCGATAATCAATAGCGTGCAATTGATGTTCGAGTAAATAGTCGATTCAAATTGATTGTCATCGCAATCGAGACAATTGCGTTGAATCGGAGGAGCGCAATTAAAAGCGAACTTACTAGCCTGATGGTTGAACACTTCACTGGCTACGACTACGATATAAACTGAACACAATAACGTTAGCATTCACGTCCATAACTGTCTGGGTATATGCCTCATTTTTCGCATCGCAAGCAGATAATTGCATGATGCATGCTTGCTTTTCAGTGTACGTATATTCGTTGTTTTAATGTTACGATGCTACAATGTAATATGTTTATAAATAAATCATCACGCGATATGATTTTGGCATCTATTTAAATATAGAAGTTGTTTATACTTTTTTTATATTATTTTAGGTATTTTAGATATGTGCTATTTTAACAAATTTTGTAGAAACAATGATAGTAATAAAGATATATCCTAGTGTGATAAACTTTTGAATGTAATAGAATTTAATGATAGTACGAATTATCTGCCGTCTGTGCATTTTTTTCCCAGTTGATAACAGTCCACTTGTTCGTAATACTCGTATTGTGGTTTGTATGTATTTTGAAATATAAGGTCGAGCATATGAAACCTGTTTCTCTCGGATATTTGATCCCGATATATTATGCTTTTACCTTTCATCGAAGGAAATTCGACGTGATCGGACTTTGAATTCAATGTCATGCAATATACATTTAGATATCGTACGTCAGCAAAAAGCATAAGTGATACATATTTCAGGTACAGAAAATTTATTAGCAATGAATCACGTACAGTGTTATAATAGGGGAAAATGAATTCATTTATAACTGTCACATTTTACAATAGCTATTTGTAGAATTTTATTACACCTTTTATTCATTACTTAAACGGTAATTTATGGTAATGTATGCTGGCTATAATATAAAGACGGACTCGATATAATATTATAATTTTATAACAAAGTGAAAAGTACTAAGTAACGCATGAAACTAATGATGATCCTAAAAGGATCCAAGATCCCGTACTGCACTTAATAAAAATTTCTGACTCGATTTTGCGCATTGTTTACATAGTTAGTTACTTAATTAAATTTACGCGTTACTTACTCATTTCGAAAAGTGTATACGATCATTATGCCTACAGGTGGTTCAACTATAAGCTCTTCCTTATAGCAAAATTGTATTTCATAGAAAATTGGGAGTAATAATTACAATTTTGCTATTCATTACACTACATCATTTGCAGAGTATGCGTAAAATGTTTATTTTCGCGCCGTCACAACTTATTTACATCACTAATTATTACTTTAGCGGACTTTCAAATGCCAATGATACGTCTTCGTTTAACCTTTTGCAGTCGCATTTATTCTAACTCGAAATTCAAAATAGTTTTTTTCGACTTATAATATTTCCATTTCATATAACTTAATGGACTTTGTGTACATGAGATTGCATTTTGCTATTCATGCTCAGATTCAATTTGACCAGATTTTATATGTAAATCGATTTGATAATATTAAAATTACTGTGTAACGCGACACAGCAATTTTTAACGGCGTCGTAGAGTCGCCACTCGAGTGCAAAGGGTTAAAATAGAAAAGAATTCACCGAACATCTGTAAGTTTCATTTGTTTTCCAATTACAATATTTACGAATACATAGTTTTATTATTAGTACTGCTTGAAATTGATCTATTATAACGAAGTAATGTTTCCTTTATAAACTACTATTGTTATTAACAATAAATTACCTATACCAATGTTATATAAAACACATACATATAAATATTCTTTTACAAGGTATTTGTTACTGAATATGGAGATACACTTTTGTTCTAGTATCAGAGGAAGAGGAAAAGAAATATAAACATATTTTAAGAGATATTGCTATTAAAATTTAGAATTAGTAAACTGCGAATAGATATTATAAACAAATATTACAAACGAACAAAAGTTACACTCAAATGAGAAGCAAGCTGTACCGACCAAAGACAATTTAGATGATCTTTTAATTGGTGACATAAATATAACATTCTCCTACCTGTCATCCATTTTTCTCTTCCTCTGTATTATATCCTACATTGTATATGTATACATATTATGAAGATGTATTATAATAGTAAACATCTATAAAACAGTTTATTGCAGTGTCGTGAAACATAATCATATAAATTAAATAAATTACACTATGTATAGAAAGATAATACATGATCAGACTTAGAAACGAAGCTGTCAGATTTGCTATTTATTTATCCGTATCGTTCTATGAACCATAAGCATCGATTTAAAGTGAACATAATCGTCAGAATAATGATGCTAATCGTGTATCGAGTTACTTACAAATGTTTGTGCATGATCGTAGACGACATACTTAATAGAGAATTAACATAAATTTGCACCTAAATACTGATCGTTATTGGGCCTCTGGAAGCACGTCAATTTATCTTTATCAATTTCATACAATATCATATGAAACAGCTTGCGCTGTAATTTTCTATCATGCACGAACGAATACATGCATTGTAAGTAAGGAGACGGATATACATATATCCACTTATAATATAGTACAGTTATAAGATTTGTATCTAGAATTAATAAAATACATCGCCCGATCATCTCCTGAATCCTACTAAACTGAAACAAGTCAATGGTTGTGCAGAAGTATAGGCCAGTCTTAGACAATTGCATATTCAATAAAATTGTCACTCCGTGCCCTTTCCATAAATGGAAATTATTACATTTCTTGAGATATGTATTTGTATAAATAGAGAGACGGTACTTCAACAATAAAGACATAACACGTTCTATAAAATTGTCGTATCCTATTGTACACTGAAAGTCGGAAACGTAAAACTTATGTATAGAAGATTGTTTGTCATAACTGACCATACTGGGATAGTAGTGGCATAATAATAAAAGATATTCGAAAACCATATGTTACATATAACTTCAATGATGTATCACAAAATATACCACGTAAATTCTTTAAAAGCAACATTCTAGAAAGAATCAATGAAATAAACTTCAACGAATCCAGTTTGTCGTTCGTACTCCAAACTGGTACTTAAATAACAATCTTTTATGAAAAAAGATTCGAGCAATCGATAAAATTGAATAATGTCATGCATTTAAAGAAAAATTCCCACTATAAATACATATATATACATATAATTAACATCGCAGATCGTTATTGCAAGTTAATTCAATATCGATAAAAATAAAAAAAGAGTATTAATAGTTTTTAAAAAATATTTTTGTTCAAATGGCAGTATCGTAATAGCACAATCTCGGAATCCCTTATTAGTTCTTCCGTTTAATATAAGACCGATGGCAGTAAATATTTTGTATTATTTTAGCACACTTAATATGTATTATCATTCAAAAAAACTATCTTATTTGATAATTGCGACAAAAGATCGCGTGAACGTACTGCGTGTTAATATACAAGTGTATATCCGATACTTTATGCAGTATCAACAATTTCATTGCTTGAAATCATTCACTTACCCTCACACCGACGATCTGATCTACTCCCTAACAAAGTCAAAAATGGACTCGCGGATAGTCGTTTTCGTTTCTCATTCTTTGTGCAGAATTATATACAAGTTTCTAATACAAAATGGCTTTGTGTTGTATCTCAGAAGGCCTCGACGAAACTAGCTGGAAAAAGTCCAATGCGACCCGTTCTCTGCTGGGTACCTTTGTACCAACCATCGTCGCGCTTCTTATGTACATAAATTATGTCTCCAACACGAAGTTCTAATTCGAATTCACTGTTCGGTGGATATGGCACAATACAGCGAAATCTGTACACTCGTTCTCTGCAAATAGGTAACAATTATATTAGAAAAGAAGCATCGAGTACGCTAATATTAAGAAAAAATAGATGAAGGCAAGATTCACGAAGTTAAAAATTTGTTTGAGGAGAGATAAAGTACAGATTATACTACCGTTCTCGAGAAGGTAATTGCTTTGTTTGTTTCCCAATTCCAGCATCCAAAGAATTGCATTTACGGTGATGATTTCCGATTGTGCACATCATGCCACCGGTTTCACTGGATCTAACAATATTGACGACATAAGAGAAAAATTCGAAGTTTCATGGTTGCTAAAGAGACCATACAATTCTGTGCAATTGTGAAATGAATGCGCGCATAATGAATTAACGAGCAATTGTTCTGATGGAATTTGTGATCATAATAAGGGAAACGATAACAACAAGCAATTGAAAAAACATGGCCAAGTAAAACAGGCGTGGATTCTAGTGCTGAATGCTAACCACATACTAAGCTTTGGAACACAAAAGATCTTCCGTGATATCACGAGCATACTTACCCAAATAATCGCGTGTTTAATTGCAAACGTTAATGCAGACAAACATATGCGTCATACAATTATTATATACACAATTAATTTGCGTTAAACAGAAAACTTGAGATTTCTAGTTCTTTTTTAAACATGTATATACGTATATATATGAGCTGAACAAATATACTTTACTGCGGTTGCTAATAGATTTTGCGACTCTATCTGCCAAAAGAAATATAATTACCAAGCGACGACTAACCTCTGGAGGATCGAGACCGGTAAAGATGGTCTCTCCTTGTACTTAAGTCTTTGTGAAGACGTGACGTGCTCTAGCAGAAAGTCTGGATACAAACGATGACGGTTGTTTGAAGCATTTAATTCCTGTGTGGCTCCCACCTGTAGCAACTGACTTGGGCAAGATCCCGATCTAATTTTAAATACACCCGCCCAACCCCCCCGTGTAGAATTAGACAAATACTTTAAGTCGTGCAGCTCATAGGATGATCAAAATAAAAGAACAAATGAAATGAAAATGTTTAGGCTATTCTGTACACTATGTGACTGACTCACTACTATCCTTCCACTATGTATGTGCGCAAGCATCAAATTCATGCAGTGATTTTTACAAATATGAAGAATGTATGCCTGCACAACACATGGTGATGGTACACAAATACATTGACTTTATGTATGCACGAAAACATAAACGAATTTCAATGACAATACATGCGGATTACTTAAAACAAAAAAATGAGGATGTGTTAGATATGCCATGGAACATGCAGATTATAATTCACTTTTCGTTTCATTAGAAATTTTTATAAAAAAATTAACCACGTTATGTCGAACGCAGTATGTACATTTGCGTGAAGCATAAAATTGTCGCCATATATAAAGAATTGATGAATCTTACCGAACGTGTACCGGATTGATAGAATTACCATCGTCAAACACAGGGTTATCCATTGAATAAGTAGCAGGTGGCGGAGATTTTGATTTTTTAATATATGCAAATCTACGCATTAAAGAGACACACTTATCTTTTTTCTCTTTCTGCTGTAACCAATGCGTTTAGGTGTAAGCTCGTGTCATGTTTCTAGCGATACATCAGAACAAAAAACTATTACCTTCTCAGTACTCTTCGGCGGAACAGCAGCTGCAGCAGCACTGGCAGAAGAGGGCGATGCGACTATGCGCAAAGTACTGTTCGGACTTCTATTCATTTCAGTTATAGTGGAAGAAGCAGTAGCGATAATATTGCTGCTGTTGATGCCCGTGAGAGTGGTACTAGTAGTCACCGATGGCGGCAAGATCATTTGTTTTCCTGGTGAAGCTGAAATACAAAGCAGCATTTTAAATATGCTGACACCACGCATTCAGCGTATAATGTATCCATTATCACGTACAAATATTTGACGACATCACAGCACTGTGACTGCGTCCGAGAGGATTCACCGAAGTTTGTTCAGTTTGTCGAGGAGGGCTTTTTTCCTGATTCTGACTCTGGCCGTGCCAAGACGACGATACCATAGGAGAAGGACTGATTGCTCGCGGTGGCAATTCAGGTGGCAGCAAGGTGCGTGAGTTGTAGAACTGAGGAGCTGATCCTTTACTTTTAGTGTATGTCACAGTAACTCGTGGCTCGGAGCCGTTTTGACCGGTCGACGACGGGACGTTTTGATGCTGTCCTGTGTTCTGCGTGCCCCGACATAGACTACGCTGACACCTGTGAAAATATGTAATCGTTTAAAATCGAAGTACTATAGTCTCCAGTAGAGATACTATTGCAAGTATCGTACTTAGCGGGTGTAACGTAGTTTCCAGGAAACACTCCGCACTTTTGAGTACGGTTCGAGGTACCCTTAAACCATCCATCTTGACAGCGTTCAGTTACCATATAAATACCGCCTTTCCTTAACTCGAGTTCATCGGCCTTCTGTGGTTTGTACGGATACAAAGCTATATAGGCGGCTGGCAAGTGAGTGCTACCAGTGGTTGTGGTAGTGGCTAAACTTTGGGACGTTTGCGCCAGCACAAGGTCGCTGCTACCGCTTCGTCTATGCCGTAGATTGTGTTCCGTGCCACTTACGGTAGTCTGAAAGATAGAAATGTGTGTCAATATAATACACCTATAATGGTTTGGTAAATTATATTCCTATCCACCTGTAATGGAGAAAATGAGTCACTACTGCAGCTGCTGTTACTATTTCCAGCTGCATTGTCCACCGGTGGACTAAGTATTTCAGCGCTGTGTCTATGATGCGGATGGGCCTGATGGCCTGTGTTAACAGCAGTAAAACTGTGACGTTTCACGTTGTGTCTGTTCCCAACTGCTGGAGGAGACGTTGCTGGACTACTAGGACTGCTTGGAGCAGTGCTGGAACTACTAGAAGTACTTGAACTATTAGGGGTATTTGGAGAAGTGGTCGAGGAGCTACCTCCTGATGATACATTCGAGACAGCATCAGAAACTGGTAATGTTGTATTCTGTCGACAAATTCATTATAGTTTAATGTACATTTCTTTCATGTCTCAAAGTGAAAGTATCATAAACACAATTACCTGTACAAGTTGCGGCCGCGGCTGACTTGTTGTTTGTATATTACGTGAATGATCGGTAGGTATTAAGGGTGTAGTTTCTTCATTAGTAGGAGTTGGAGGAGCTACTCTCGATGGACCTGGCTGTGCACTGATATATATATAAGAAGTAATTAATATTAGAGACATGTGTGAATGTTAAGATTGTTCTATAAATTGATTAAAATTACTTTGCTGAAAGTTTCATTAGAGCCCTTGCCACGCTGTTTAGCTCCACAAAAGCCAGGGGAAAGATACCAATTCTGTCTAACAGTTTTCCTTCTGCCCAATTTTCGTCGACTCTTCTAATCACGCTTATAACTTCACCCTGTTGAAACATATTTTTTACAATGATAAAATCAAATAAAACTACAAACGCGTTGCTTTACCTTATTAAATGTAAGGCAGCCATCTTCGTCATCATTGGTCATTCTAAAATCATACAGTGCTTTGCACTGAGGAACATGTGATGTTAGAGGAGTCATTACCTGTAAGACGTAGTTAATAGGTGATAAGATAAGTAGAACAATTCAGTTTATAATACTTCGAAGATACTACAATATACCTGAACATAAGAAAGAGGAAAAACTCCATGACCGCTAACACTTTCTCCGAAACACCAATTGTTGTCTATCTTCTTACAAAGGATGACTATATCACCCTTTTTGAAGGACAAATCCCTGGAACATGAAGCATCGGATTAAGCAAAAATCTCACAGGAATAAAATAAAGTATTCAAACAGATAATTACCCTGGAACTTTTGAAACATAATCATAGATCGCTCGACCGTAAGCCCGATTATGCAGTTTAGCTGCGGCATTTACATGTCTGATCGGATCGTTCGTGTATGCGGTAGGAATAAGACTAGCAGTTACAGTAGGAGCTGGAGTGACTTGGTGACCACCGAACAGTCTCTGCGGTCCTGGGTTGCTTTTAGTCATGGATTTGGGTATTTGTTTGGGAGCAGCATTGCGCATCCCTTCCAGGATACGCATCAGGAGCACATTTGGAGGCAGATCGTCGACTTTCGCGTCAACTAATACACGGCACTCGGGACAGCGCAGCTCCCGATGGGTGCTGACAATTTCCTCCAAACATTTTTTGCAGAAAGTGTGTTGACACGGGAGTACCTTGCTCGACGTATCCAGCCGCTCTAGACACACCGAGCACTCCAGCAGATCGTTCAGCATGCACTCGTCCATCCTAACTGACAGGTTTTCGTCTCGCTCTCGACAAATGGTTTCAGTCCGTTCGCTTGCAACCGTTTTCTCGATAAGTGCTTCTTCCTCTTACTTCTCCGATCTTCCCACGCGTCCTGTCTTTGTTGCACCCATAGGCCGCCATACACCTGACGCACTCGCCTCTCTTCGCATAACACGCAACGACGGGACTCAACGGACGGACAGAGTCCACCAATAAGTCCAACCCGAATGCGAACGCGCAGACATGTTACCCGATCCTTTTTTAAACTTTCGAACACCACTCTTCCACCCTTTCATTCACCACGAGCCAAAAACCCTTGTTAGGTGCGTCAGTGTACCCGCTGTCATCCTAGTGTTCGTGTTCCACTGTGCACACACACCACCACACGCACGACCATATCGATCAATCGGACTATCGTCGATTAGAGTCGATTCTAATACAGACTAACAAGTGCTCCACCAATTGTACGCATGTACGTATGTATGTACGTACAATGAATATCGTGTAATCGAAGACGTTGTCATAGAACGGTGGCGATCGGTCTCTAAAGTTAAAGTGCGATTGCGACAATCTTTCGTTGGAAATTTCTTGTATACATATGTAATTATGCTGTACGTTTTATCTAGCTAGGCGCTCTCTTGTAAGCACAGTTCCACTTATGTATCCAAGGAATGCAATGTTATGACGGAATTCGCGACGAATTCGTTTATATTAGCAGCCATCTAGTGGTGTATCGTAAAAGTGCATTTAGAAACTCTAATCGCGAGGACAGCTCGCGTAGTAGCGCTAGCAAGGCGAGCACATAACGTGTAACGTAATTTCAAGATAGAGTTTCGCTCTCTACAATATTAATTGAAATTGTCACCATTTTCCCGCCACGGAGACGTCCTGTTCGTCCGGTGTTAGACCAGTTTCTAATTTTTGAAGTCGCTCTTGTTACCGAATTTTGACGTACGGCAGTGCTTTTGTACCTCAACGAAGACAAGCTCTTATCAATTTATAGTTCAAAGTTTATAAATCGAAATGAAACGTTCTCTTTTCCTCCAGTTTAAACAATCAAAATTACTCACCACAGGTTTGCTTTTCTGAAACGTCATTCGATACATAGTTGGTGAGTCATAATTACCTTCAACAATTCATTAGTACTGCATGAAGGAAAAGTTTTAAAATTTATACTTAGAGTGTTGCAATGCAGTACGTACTGGTACATATACATATACAATGACGTTCTCAAAATCTCATATAAAGACCCGTGCGAAGCTGGCTCAACTTATTATCGAATATTAATGAAACATAGCTAAAAAATTGCTCTTTGATTGTCCATAATTGCTCACTTATGTTTTTCGAGAAATATCCAAAAATCTTTTGGAGACGCCTAGTGACTTTTATGAGAGGCTGGGGACTTTTAAAGATACGTGAAAAAACACTGCTTTTGATTTGCATTTGATATGCATTTTGCTAAGGCCATATACCTGGCGCAATTCGGAAATAAATAATAATAATAAATGGTTCGATATTTTGGAGCAGACGCTTTGCGTTGCCAAATGAATGGCAAACTTGGCGCAATCTTGCAGCAAAACGTTTCGTTTGAAGTACACAAATCGGTAGCACTTATGCGGTAGATGCGGCAGTGCTATAAGATTTGGCCTCGATTTGGCCTGTATTTGGCGTGGACGAGGGGTTGGTACCAAATCCGGCGTGAAATGCAGAGACGAATGGTTCGGTATTTGATATAACAGCGTACAGTCAGAATCATGTCAAATTCAGGACAAATTGCTTGGTGGGTATTGATTCGAGCGTCGCCCTAATGCGCCATTATGGGCGCTGCGACGGTAGTCAGGAGGCGTAACCCTCGTGTCATCGATGTTGCGTGTAGTCTTGTTCCGTTTCATTTAAGCTATCGCATATATTGAGTTAGAGTAATTTTTTGAGTATTTATACCAATTGATATTTGGCTGCCACGAACGGCACTTCATTTTTTAAAAATATATTTATTTATTGAAAATTCATTGTTTACTGATGAAACCGTTGCTCGCGGAAGGACGAACAATTGGTTACATGAAAAGAGTAATTCTTTGGTAGGTCATGCAGCACGTTTTATGCATTATTTCAGGAATTTCATATTAAAATTCTCCAACCTCTCGTGAAAGTCCCTAGTTGCCCCGAGGAAGTTTTCTGGAAATTTCTGAAGAACTACGAAGCAGCAATTAAAAGCAATTACAGATCAACAATGGACAATTAAAGAGCAATTTTTTGAGCTACATTTCATTAATATTGGTTAATACGGTGAGCCAGCTTCACACGGGTCAAGCAAAGAAACATATTTATGAAAAATCTGCATGCAACCAATAGCGAGAAGATACAGACGACTGCGCCTATGATTACCGTTATTGGTAATAAAGAAATACCCTACTTCCTAAGATGGCGCGTACGTCCTCACCATTTTACTGCGTATCCAATCCGCGCTGGATCTTGTCTCAGTAGTGAATCATCATCAGTCATCAGGCAAGCACTCATCGTGTAGGAAAGGAAATCATATGCGCGTATCTATGTTCGCATACGTATGCTGTGCAGTTCTATAATGTGGTTGGTAGCGGATAGGCGTGTACGAAGCGTGTGAGCCGTTCTATATATACTTTTATATAACCCCGGCTTTGTTGGCTGTTTCTTGTATACAAGGTGAGAGACAGACGTTAAAAGGTTCAGTAGCTGGAAAATGGCGGCATCGAAAACTCAGCGTTGGATGGTTGATTCGGGGATCCTACGTAAAAAGAATGGAGAAGAGGAGCCGCAGGAGCTGTTGGTGTTTGGATACAGCTGCAAATTATTTCGAGATGATGACAAGGCGAAAATGATTGATCAAGGAAAGCATTTGATACCATGGATGGGCGATAACACGTTGAAAATAGACAGGTCCGTTTCTCTAACCTAGACAAACTTTATCATCTAGGATATTTAATTCTTGCATAAAACGCACACCGTACATGTAACCTTTAGAAGATCCGATGTCCGACTAAACTGAGCAAACTGTGCAGCTGTTCGAAAATATAAAAAAAGCACTACCACGAACGGTTTACGTATGGATAAGCAATCTGGAGACTGTTTAAGGTTTCTGCAGGTGTCTTGGCTGTGAACAGGCGGTGTGGATGCGCGGTTACGCGCTCTACACGCCCGTAGAGCAAGTGCTCTCTCGCGACGTTGGTGCTTACGGCTGACCGTCGGCGCAGCAGCAAGGTGAGACACAGCGTAGAGAGACAAACGGCAGCTGACGATTGTAGGTACTACAATCGCTCAGCATGGTATGTATTAGCGTTCTAGATTCGGCCGTACCCGGCATAGGCACTCAACGCGTTTCACGTTAATCATGGTATGGATAGATTTTGTCGATTGCCACTTATGTAAAAAATAATATAATGTACACTAAAATCTCTTGAAAATATATCTTATTATTACGAGAGCGTTAGATAGCGGTAAACATTCTTTGAGATTCAGTACACACAGTCTGTCTGGGTTACACCAAAACTTCATGACGTAGTCATTACAATATCTGCTATTACTGTTTTTAAAAAAACTGTTATTATATCGTTTAGCTGACCTTCCTGTACGCTACGTGCCTGCAATGATTAACACATAGATAAACACGGCAAATGTAATAGTATGTCATAGAGTTTTGTATAACTGTATTCTATTTCAGAGGAATGACTTTGACACAGGGTTTGCTTTGTGATCATAACTTTCAGATGCCGAGATCGACCAAATAAACTCTACAAGACGCCCGTCATTTTCCTCCTTTAATTACGTTATTGTATGTGTATAGATACGATGGACGCGGAGCTCTCGGGGACTTAAGGATATACGAACCACCGCCAGGTGGGTTCGATCAGCGTACTATCCTTACGGAGGAAGAGCTTAAAGTGGAACAGCTATGTGACGAAGAACGGTATCGGTCCCTTTACAACAGCGACATAGACGATTCCGTGTATCATGGTAAGTTGCAGACGCTTACTCTTATAAAAGGATCGGAAAACTCAAACTGATAAAATTACAATTTCAGAGGAGGAAATGAAACGGCTGCATCAAGCATTGGATTCGGAAACCACGTATAGTCAGGTAGCGTATAATTACAACGAGGAAGGGAACGGTTCGAAAAACGCGTGCGAAGATTCCCAAAGTCCAAAACAGTCCGAGGGTTCCCAAGAAGAGGACCAGGCGTTTGTTCCGCCGCCCGACCTGGAAATACCGGACGGTATTCCATTGGTAGGTAGTCGGTCGAATGTTTACAAAAAGAGAAAGGAGAATTTCTACTAACTATAGATGTTACGTTGTTCAACAGCCGGAGACTCAGAAACTAAATGCCATCATAACAAAAACAGCATTGTTCATAAGCCGTCAAGGGGGCCAAATGGAAATCTTGATTAAAGCGAAGCAAGCAAACAATCCACAGTTTTCGTTTTTATCGATAGACGGACGCCTGCACCCGTATTACAGATACATACTGGATGCGATCAAGAGCGGAAAGTACAATCCCGAAAAGCAGCCCGAAAAGGAGGAATCAGGTATGCATATTGTTTTTGTTTGAGGCAACATCTTACTAGTAATGTTGTTCACTTTTGATATTATTGAGTTGAAATGATTGAAGCGACTTAAAACAGGATTTGATTACCCACATCTACTTTGAATTCTACTTAGTTTTTCTTGCCGTAAGTACTTCTACGCATATTTGTTAATGTACATCGATCTCTGTGTGATACGTAGGAAGCATTAGAGCGATAGTGCACGGACATGTTCTACTTACTTGTATTCTTTTCAATGATAGAACACGAAGAAGGGTCGTCGGATCAGGATGACGAATCGTATCTGCATCCGAGTCTGGCGCCATCTTTCACCAAAATCGAAGCGGTACGTACGCTTTGGAATTATGATGGAAACAATATCGATTCACAGGAGTTAATAACAATGATCGTTTACAGGCTCCAAGCATTCCTAGTATACAATACAAACCATCCGCTGATTGTGCTTATTCGATGTTGGTGAATAAAATCACGGGGAAACCTCCACCCTCGAAGGTGCCGCAATTGCCTGAAACACCTGTTCAGCCACCGGCTCCTGCTCTCGGATATTATCATCCTATACCTGGACAAGTGAGTTGCATTGTTACTGTGTTAATCAACTACAACGCGGGCAGTACAGCTAATTTAGAAGTGGAAAGATTAATATACATATTTTATTTCTGCAGGGTTATAATCCTTATCCCGCACCAGTACAGTATTCCCATGGTCCCGTGGTGTACGGACCAAATGGACAAGTACAATCACCTGGTCAGCTAGCCATCGTAAATGTACCCCCGTCTTCCGACATGGTTCTGGCTCACGCGTCGACAATAGAGCCACCTTCGCCGTTGGTTCCTTATGGGTCCACGCCTCAGAAGCAATTGAGCAGACCTTCGTTCATCGTGCCGCCCGCGGACGTTCAGATAGTCATCGACAAAATGGCCAGTTACGTGGCGAAGAACGGTCGAGACTTTGAGGCGATAGTGAAGAACAAGGGTGACCCAAGGTTCAACTTTCTCGAGCTGTCACATCAGTATCACGGCTATTACGCGCACAAGCTGACGATCTACGAAGGTGCCATAAACCCAAAGGTTCTGACGGAGGAGGTGTTACTACAGAAACAGGAGCCGCTCGAGGAGAAGCAGAAGAAGCTGGAGGAGCTGCAGAAGAAGCAACAACGGATGGAGGAGGTGCAGAAGAGGGTGAAGATGATCCAGGCGAAAAAGAAGTGCGACACGAGGACGAAGCAGGTCGCGCCGGGAACCAAGCAGATCACCACGGTATCGTTTTCGATTAAGAAACCGAAAGACGGCGAGACCGGGGTGATAGAGAAGAGGAACGCCCTCCCGTTGGAGGAGAGTGACGACGAGATGGATAACGAAAACAAGGACGGAAACTCGAAACCCAACTCGCCGCAGAACAGTGAGCAGAATTCTGTGTCCGCTACGGACAAGGATGCCTGGAGGTCGGATAAGAAGTCGAGGACCGAGGAGAAGGAACTGGTGGATCTCACCGACGAGATTCTCGAGGACTGCCAAAAGGAAATCAGGCACAAGCAAGCCGAGGACAGGATCAAAGACAAGCTGGTTGCAGCGGCGAGGGACAAGCTGGCTGCCACATCCAGAGAGAGGCAGCTCCAGTTGGAGAGGAAAAAGAAAGCGGCAGCATTTCTCAGTCAGATACAGTCTTCCGTATTACCAAAAACAACGGGAACAACAATTCAATCGACAAGGAAAGACGACTCCGATGAAGTCCATTCGTTGCCGTCACCCACACCTTCTCCGTCTTGTGAAGACGCGAAGTCCTCCGACTCGAGGATCGGCGGTAACTCTTTGATGGACAGACTGAAAAGCGCAGATCTTTCTGGTAAAAGGTCGCGGCCACGGTCAAGGAGTCCTGATGGAAGTCGGAGTCACAGTGACAGACAGAAGTATCACAAGAAGCACAAGAAAAAGAAAAGTACCCACCGAAGGTATTTATTTCACTTCTTGTTTCAATGAAATCCTTTGCAAGCATTTTCTTTATATTGTCGCGTTGGTATCTTCTAAAGTTATATAGTCAAGTTATATATATTATTATAGTATAAATATTAAACTTTTTGATACCCAATTCAATTCTTTGTGAAAAATATTCTTAACACGTCCGTAGTACACGTTTCGCGTAGAAAAGTTAAAATCGATGCTGTGTACTTCGTTATTCAAAGTTATTCATGCTAGAAGGACTTCCAGCTTTTGTGTAATAATATGTTCGTCTATAATATTATATACCCCACTTTTCGGTAGCAAACATGTTAATATCAAGAAAAATTTTTAGTGCGGCTTAGAAATCTCCGGATGGAGAACACGTGGCATGGTTCTCAGAAAGCAATCGGCTTCGGTTTGATTAGACTTTATGCGTTCTCTGGTCTATCGAAGATTAATACGTCCGTTGTTCCTGTAAGCAGTAATGAGTTTCAGAGACTCGTGACCCACGTGTGAGTCATGTGCTCTGAATCGAGGCTTCCGTAACCCAGATACAGCTCACGTGAAACGTCAACTCTCGCTAATTAGTTCCGCTTCCGGTTTCAGCAGCCACGACAGTCCGAGCAGTTCTCGGTCGCATCGGCCCAAGAAGAGCAAGAAGACCTCATCGAAGCATAGATCCCGATCAAGGACGCCGTCTCGGAGGCACCATCACAGCGCGCGACGAAAGGGAAGCAATTCGTCCTACTCGGACTCGAGCTCGCCTTAATTCGTATTTTCTATAACTTTATACGTGTAAAATTGTGTATATACCCGTACGCGTGCGTACGTACATACCTACGTACATACATAGACATACATAGACAAACAAACAAACACAAACATACGTACATACATACAGTACACACCGCATACACACATACATGCTGGTGGGCAAACCACAGCTATTATCGTTGAGACGATAATTTTAATACAACTTTTGTCCAAGAAACGAAACAGAAGGAAATAAAAAGGATTGAAGAATAAGACCGCGTTCGAGCTTGTATGCAATCGGCTGTTCGTGTATCGCCTTGTGCGACAATAACAATCGAGATCCTTGGTCCACGAGCAATTTCCCAGTTTCCCAGTTTCCTAGTTTCTATCGGATCAGATCCTCGATCTTCGAAATAGAAGTTAAAAGTATCAATATAAATATACAGCCGCCTCGGGAAGCGTGTCAACAACTCGATCGAACTGTTGTCGAAAGTTAATGCGAAGAAATGGATGATATGTCGTCGATACGAAACTGTAAACAAGCGAGCAGATATTTGGTAGCTTACAGCATCGGGCGGCCGAGTTCCAGAATAATACGATCATTAGTTTACTTGTTGCAGCACCGTTCGATTAATTTCCATTCCGGTACCGAACGTAATCGCGGATCATCTTTTGCGTCAGAGAAAAACATCGGTCTGTCGAAGGAACATGAAATTCACATGGGGGAGGAAACTATTTGACGCATGGCCGCGTTTGTGCATCGAACGCCGCACAATATCAAAGGTTATCAAATTAAAGTATTCCACGCGCGTAGTGCTTGTTGCACAGTACTTGATCCTACGTAAGCGCCAACTCTCTTGTTTGCAGATGCATCGTGCGCGCTTCGGACAGCGGTCGGAGTGCTCTTTACCATTGGGTCTCCTCTTTTCTCATGCTGCACCTTGCACCTCGTCCTAACGCGCCTCCTCTCTCTCTCTCTCTCTCTCTCTCTCTCTCTCTCTTATGCGCTCTCTCTCTCTTTTACTCTCCCTTATTCTCTCTCTCTCTCTCTCTCTCTCTCTCTTTTACTCTCCCTTATTCTCTCTCTCCCTTATGCTTTCTCTCTCTCTCCCTTATGCTCTCTCTCTCTCTCTTATTCTCTCTCTCTCTCTCTCTTTTACTCTCCCTTATTCTCTCTCTCCCTTATTCTCTCTCTCTCTCTCTCTCTCTCTCTCTTTTACTCTCCCTTATTCTCTCTCTCCCTTATGCTTTCTCTCTCTCTCCCTTATGCTCTCTCTCTCTCTCTTATTCTCTCTCTCTCTCTCTCTTTTACTCTCCCTTATTCTCTCTCTCCCTTATTCTCTCTCTCTCTCTCTCTTATTCTCCCTCTCTCTCTCTCTCTCCTCCGACGTCTAAATAAGTAAGCCAGCAGTTCTTCCTCGGTCTGAAAATAGCACCGATGCTTTATGCATTTAACACCGATCGAATATAAGCTGCCCCGGGAAACCGTATTCCTTTTCGCGCCAAATCAATTGCCGCCTAATTGAGTTTAATAAATCGAGAACACGCCGTCTCAACTACGCAGAAGTGATACGCGCCCTCGTGGCGAACTGCGCGCGTGCCGACACCTGGCCTCGAGAGCATCACCGATTACATTGTAATTGCATAATTGCAGAGCGTCGTTATCTTGTTTTCATACGGTTCAACGAAGTCCGAGGGAAAGCGCGCTCCCCGTATCGAATTCTTCAAGGCGAGCACAAGAAGAACGTCGCTTTCTTACCTGATTATATTATACACGATTGCCTCGATTAGGAGAAAGACTTTAACTTTTATAGAAAAATTGGGCCGCAAATGAGACGGCACGTGGGAGTCCACGTGCACGATTAACACTTCAGAGTGATTCATTCGTAATTATATTTAGTTCCCAGAATTTATTCACCTGTTGAGCCGTCCGCGGCTATTCTAAATCTCCTAATCGCGTCTCTTTACTATCTTTTTTATTTCGTTAGACATTTTTATGCGAATTGTAAACTGTTTTGCGCGTGGACAAATTTTATGTTCTATTTTCACTATTTTACAAAGCCGATTTATTATTTGACAATTCGCACAGAGATCCAGCCGAGAGGCTGGAAGCTCTGGAATAGGTGCGAACGGCTGCAAAGGTCGCGGTCGGGAGCTCTAGAATTCTCCGTGTGCACATTCCGCGAATCTCAATGATTCGTCCGGTTCTACGAAAGCAAATAATACAAGTTCGACGATAGGCAGCTCCCGCGAAGAATCGGCTAATTAGAGCGGAAAATGAGATCCGATCGAGGCTCGACGCACCGACGCCCCGGTCGTCTCATTAGAATCGCGAGCACCGTTGCTAATCTGTGAACGTTAGAACGGCGGAATCGCGGATGACAAAGGTTCTTTCCCGCGGCGGGCAGATTCGTTGCGGTAATTCTCCGATGACGAGTCCGGTCGCGGACAACCGTCGTGGCGCCGACGGTCAAAGAACCGTCGCACGCGACTCCGATGGAATCGGCCCGATCGAATTTAGAGAGTGCAATTTAGTGTGTCGGGGTTCAAACGGAATTTTTTATCTGGTCTCTCGTTACAGGTTCGCGTTCGATCGCCGGCGAGAACCTAATCTACCGCGCGGAATAAGACCGGCCTTTCAGGGGAAACAACGATCCGCGCTAACTTCTTCTTTTTTTTCTCTCCACAGTTCCCAGAAGAATTTCAAATGATTTATTTCTTTCTTTTTTCATCGAATAAAGACCGGCATTCACGACACAGCAACGATGATGCTGGCGACCGCGAGCCCGTTATCTCGTCTTCTTTTTTTCGCACGGTTATGTCCTGGTTATCGTTTACATAAACATAGCGCGCTTTTATTTTCTTCCTGATCGTCCTCTCCGCGGCTATCCGCGACCATGAAGTCGCGCGGAAATCCCGACCAGGGCGAGGCTACCGTAATGTCGAACCTTCTCTCGTGAAACGTCGATCTTCCGGAAGATACGGGACCATAATTTGCATTGTTTTCATTCAGATGTTGCGAGCTTTTTATTTTGAAATTTTTCGAAAAAATAGTTTTCCAATTGCGATAATTCTATGATGAAAAGGTCACCAGTTTTGGTGGTTCCTTTTTCGGTGTAATGCCGATTTCTGTGGAAATCCAGGACCATAATTTGTATTGTTTTTATACAGACCTTGCGAGCTTCTCATTCTGCAATTTTTCAAAAAAATAGTTTTCCAATTGCGATAATTCCACGATGAAAAATCCTCGAGTTTTGACAGATCCATTTTCAGTATAATGCCGATCCCTGTGGAAATTTAGGACCATAATTTGCACTGTTTTTATACAAATGTTACGAGCTGCAGTTTCCCACAAAAACAGTTTTCCAATTGCAATAATTTCATAATAAAAAATCCTTTAATTTTGACGGATCCTTTTTTAGCATAATTCCGATTTCTGTGGAAATTCAGGACTACAATTCTCACTGTTTTTATTCAGACATCGCGAGCTATTCATTCTACAATTTCCCACAAAAACATTTTTTCAATTGCGATAATTCCATAATAAAAAATCCTTCAATTTTGACGGATCCTTTTTCGGTATAATTCCGATCCCTGTGGAAATTCAGGACCACGATTCGCACCATTTTTATTCAGACGTCATCAGCTATTCATTCTACAATTTCCCACAAAAACACCCAAAAAACAATTGCGATAATTCTACAATGAAAAGTCCTCCAGTTTCGATGAATCCTTTCTCGGTGCAATACAAATCTCGCGTCACAACAACAACACTGCACTTTATTCAAGCTTCGCGGCTCACCGCTACCACATATCTTCCGCAAATGCGATTTCGTAATTGCAACGGTTCTAACAATGAAAGTCGTTGCAGTTTCGGTGGTTCTACGGTGTCCGAGCGATCGATCGCCGGCTCGTCGGAAACTCGCGGGGGTGCCGGCGAAAGCGCCGCGATAAGAAATTCGTTAAATTCCACGAGGTTCTTCTTCTTTTTATTATTTTTTTAATCTGATTTGTTAGACTCTTTAGAAACGCTTGCGGATGTGTTAGGCCGAGATAGCGTGTATCGAATATTCCACACGTGACCACACTTTGATCAAGCGGAGGTCAAGGGTGAATTGCCTCAGATTTATAAGTTAGCTCGGTCGCACGAGACTCAGTCAGTCGGTGTTGGATACTCAACATCAGCCGGAACACACTTGCACAGACTGATGTCGGCCAAGACGATTGTGAGTATTTACGAGGACCAGCGAGTCAGTCGATAACACCGCCGACGGTCGACGTCGGGCTTCCCGCGTTTGATCCTGCCTCCCGTCGAGCCGACGATCGATTTCCTTTGCTTTTCTTGATCTTTTTCCCCTCCGTTTTCGTTGCCACCTGTTGTGGAAACACTTCTGTTAATTAGCAGAGCAGGGAGCTTAGTACAAAAATGATATTTTTAGAAAAGAATTCGAGGCAATAGAAGATTAGAGAAAATTCTCTAATCCTGCTCGCCGTTGGCCGCGAAAATGATTTGAAAGTGCGTTAGAAGTTCAGTCGAACTTTCATTTTAACAGAACTCGAAGTCTCGATTATTCCGCGTTTCTCAAATGACGACACTCGAGTATTATCGTCGGCACGGGCTAACTAGGCTAAGCCAGAACCAACATCTTAAGCCCCCGGTTGTCTATCTTATTCTGATTATTCTATTGTTATCTTTTTCGAAATGTGTTTCACTATAGCATTCTTGTCGATCGGAAATCTGCAAGATAATCGGGATCGATAAATCCTGCAGACCTTGGATCGCGAAGAATATCTGCATCGGTACGACTGTCCAAAGGTTTCCAAGTTGTTTAACAATTTCCAAAGCAGGAGATAATTGACAAAACTGAGAAACTTTACAGATCTTGCATCGAGCAATCAGCCAAAAATTTCCACTTGCAGTAAATTCTCTCGAATTCGCGCTCGAAGTGCGCAGAAAAATGGACAATTTTTTGGAGATACGATTATTCGAGCCGTGCTTGTTTAGAGTTGTCGACAATCAGTTATTGTTGTACCCCTCGAAAATTGATAAAAGCAGAAGTAAAATTCCGAGAATAACAGTTAACAATATCGAAGGCAGGAGATAGTTGTCCAGGAGTGCTTACTTTGCACCGATAGTGATGTTCATTGCTAGAGGTCGTCCGGTCGTCCGGAGGTCGTGGGAACGTTTGGTATTCCCGGATCGATAAGGCTAATCGATTGAAGGTGTTGGAAAATTTTCGGTCGAGTCCCGGCGATGGTAATGCGCCGCGATATTGTCGAAGAAGAGGAACTATAGACGCACGGGGAACTATAATGACGGTTTTTTAAATCGACAGTCGCAGCCGCAGAGGCGGACCATCCTGGATCCTTCGGACAAGTATCGTCCGGAGCCAGTGCACTCTGGGAAATTGGAGAGCGAGTTCAGGAACTTCTCGGAGGACACGGCGGATCCGATCAAGGAACGCGTTCGGAACACCTACCAGAAAATGCACACGCATCAGACGGTCGAGTTCGTGAAAAGTGAGTATAGTCGCACTTCGATTGCCAGAAAGATCCTCAGCAATGACCAAAATTGCTTGTATCTCCCTAAAATTGAATATCGAAAGCTGGATCAGCTTTCAGTCGCTGCTTGCACGACCGTTCGCAGATTAATGTTCAAAGTCGCAGCGATTCCTCTTCAAGTAGCTGCTCCGGCAACCAATTACCAAAACCTTTGGTTTTCAGTCCGCATGAGCGATTGGCTGCGCTTCAATAAATTCAAGATGACCGTGAAGGACGCCCTGATCAAGCTGAACAACCTGGTGGACGAGAGCGACCCGGATACCAACTTGCCGAACATCGTGCACGCGTTCCAAACCGCGGAGTCCATCAGGAAAGAGCATCCGGACTTGGATTGGTTCCATCTGACCGGCTTGATTCACGATTTGGGCAAGGTAGAATCGAATTGTTCGAGTGTGCGACCAGCGAAGCGATCTCGATGGAGAAAGCACGATAAAAATGTCTCGCAATCCGAAAGTGGCGGGTTCCTCAGGTCATCTGAAGCAACTTCTTCCTTTACAAAAATTTTCTCCGAGGCACCGTTAACGAGTTATTAACGAAAAACAGTGACCAATGAGAGGCGAGCTCAGGTGACGCGAGGCGACCGAGCCAATGAGCGGAACTGGGCTTCGTGCGCTGGTTGGCTGGGCCGCCTCGCGTTCGAGGCCTCGCCTCGATTCTTATTGGTCACTGTTTTTCGTTAATAACTCGTTAACGGTGCCTCGGAGAACATTTTTGTAAAGGAAAAAGTTGCTTCAAATGATCCGAGGAACTCGCCGTTTCCAGATTGCGAGACATTTTTGGGATACCCTGTATAATATATATAACCGCGAATCGAAAAAAAATGATTGGACAGAAAATAATAGATTCACGATTTGTCCAGGTAATGGCGTTTTACGACGAGCCCCAATGGGCCGTGGTGGGCGACACGTTTCCAGTCGGATGCGCCTGGGCTAACTCGATCGTCTACAGAGACACTACCTTCGAGGACAACCCGGACGGCAAGGACTCGCGATACAAGTAACTCCCGCAATCTGTACACCTCTGAATAAAAGCAAGGACCTCCAATAAGCTGTTCGATCGTTCCAGCACCAAATACGGCATGTACACGCCTCAGTGCGGAATAGACAAGCTGACGATGTCCTGGGGCCACGACGAGTATCTGTACCGGGTCCTGGTGCACAACAAGACCAAGCTACCGGAGGAAGCGCTGTCCATGATCCGCTACCATTCGTTCTACCCGTGGCACACGGGCGGCGACTACATGCACTTCTGCACCAGCAAGGACATGAAGTTGCTCGAGTGGATCAACAAGTTCAAGTAAGTGTCTTAGATTGCCGAGCTATCAGCTCGGCAAATCTAATCTAATCGCGATCATCTAGCAGATTCAATCCGCATTTTCCAATCGAAGCGAAACTCGGTCGCAGTTTCCTCTCTCGAAGGTCGTTGCGCCTGTATCAGTTCCCCGTGGAGTCCGTTCCAACGATCGTGATCTTGTTTTCCAGCAAATACGACCTGTACACGAAGAGCGACGACGTTCCCGATATAGAGAAGTTGTGGCCGTACTACGAGAAGCTGATCGACAAGTACATCCCCGGCGAGCTAGAATGGTGAATCCTTTTCTCGGGGCAGCGAGGAACAATCGACTAACGTGTCGATCGGTCAACGTCAACCAGCGGCTTCAGCGTCAACAGACACGTGGCAAACAAGAGGATTTCGTTTTTATAAATTAGCATAGGCCACTGTCTTTAGGTCAGGCATGTCCAAATCGGAGCCCATGGCTCACCACAGGCATAGATACGTTGGGATGCTTAGTCAGATCCTTTGTACAAATTCATTATCTCGTATTTTTGATCGCCGTGGCTCTCCGTGGGCGCCCGATGCGGGTCTTTTCGCGAGCAGCGACGCCGGGAATGTTGCCTTCTATAGGGGTCGAAGGGGGTCGATGGAAATCGGTTGTTAATTTATGAACAAAGCTAAGATGTAGCAACCCTAAACGGTTGCTACAGCGGTTCCTTAAGATTCGATCTTACCTCGAATTACATTATTTAATTCAACCGAGTAAAACGTGTTACTAAATTCGCCTCGTTCCTCCAGTTCCGCTCTCTTTTCCCTCCGTACGGCATCGTTGCTCGCAAAGGGTCTCTCTAGAGTTTAGAAGTTGGCCAGGTTTGGTCGATTCCCGCTCGAGTTTTCCGATATTTTCAATATTCTCTGAAGCAGCAATATCTACGAATCGGGCTGTGTAGGGAGCCGAGTGTTTCTCTCGCTCCGCGCCGTTCTGCACGTCAACTTCCAAGCTCCGCGCTCGATTTGGACATGCCTGCGGCTTCTGCGATCGTTCGAAAGCTCATGAAATTACCCTGGTAATCGCGGAACGCGGCCGAGCCTAATCGGCGGTCGCGTGACCCAGCGAATTTCCCAGATGGACTCTGAGTAACGGGGAAGAATTTGACTCAGCCGTCGATCGATGGTCACACGCGACACCAGGGTGACTCTCTCGTATCGGCGAACTGATTGTTACGTTTCTCGTCGCGACATTAACACCGAAGAATCGAGAGATGAGTCAGCGACAAGGTCGAGCTACTTATTGAATAAAATTTTGGCACTTTGCTTTTCATGCGAAAAAAATTGTACACCTTAGACAACTTCGGGGAAATCGATATCGGCGCTGGCGAAAGGCTCGCGTTAACTTCGCGATTACGTCAGCGGCGCGTCGCGAAAGAATTCGTGAAATTTTTTAGCGCGTTCCGTGGAACGCTTAGGAAACGACGCGTCGCCGAAGGCGAGAAGATGAGAAATAGAGGTCGGAAGGGGAGGAATTCCTTCGCGCAACGTCGGTAGCGCGAAAGTGTGGGTACGCACCGCCGGAGGAAGCTCTAGAAACCACGGGTATGCGTGGTTTCGCGGGTAATCGAAAACGCGTTTCGACTTTCGAGAAGACCCATCCGAGCACCGGCACACCAAACATTGCGGAGTCCCGGACTCGCGGTTTCGTTCCCACGTGATTAGCTCCGGTAACGGGGGCCTCGCGCTTGCCTGTGTGCGTGCCCCTAAATGGTCCCCCATTTCCGGATATTATTGAGGGAACCAGCTTGTACATCTTTTTTCACCGTGCCCGACGGCTCCTCCTTTCCCGGCCCGTTCTGCTTTCCCTTTCGTCCCGTTGCGCGCGGTCCAGCCTCTCGCTAAATTTCCCAGAATCGATTCTAGGAAAAAACGTCTCTTCGATTCAAGTTCTAACCGCTGAAGAGACCCGTCCACCGCGTCGGTTCTAGCCCGTTGCGCTACGAAGTTGTCTATGTCGCCGTAAAATCGTCTGCATTCAGCGAACGAAGATGTTCCAAGCCTGCGGAATTCTTTGGCGTTGAAACAGCGTCGGGCACAATCGTTGAAGAAAGATAAACCAATACTGAGAATAGAACTGAAATTCTTTTCTGTGCTATTCCAGTTTGGGCAGGTCTAGCAATTAAATAATTTCGATTAAGAGGAACTCGCGCGGACAATTTTCAACAACTCGCCATCCATTCGGTTGGTCTTCATGTTTGGAATGTTTTTTGTCATCATAAGTCAAGTTGTATTCGGAGAGAAGTTGAGCGCGCAGAAAATTGCGATTGCTTCGCGCGCCTTCTTCCGGAGATCCTAGCAGAGCGACGGCAGTTAGACGGTGCCCGCGAGTCGCATAATGAAGACATTAATAATAATGACCGCGGCAACAATGCCGATGGGCCGATAGATTCCGTGGGTGAGGTAGGACGCAGGGGCGGAGGCACCGGGCGAAAGAAAGGGGATCCTCGCTGGCGGCGGAGTCGTAGGTCGGCATTTTTTCGCGGGCCGTCGACGATCCTGCGTGAGGCGCCGTTAATCCTTGGGTGAACCAGCGTCGTTAACAAACGATATCGAGCGATCGGGGCGGCCGTGCCGGAGCGCACGTCCCGCCAAGGTAATTATTGGCTTTGTTGCGATGTGCATCGCGATGTGCATCTGCAAAGGTCGGGAGGAAGGGCAGCCTGTTCCTTTCCCGATCTGGGACGCGCGGGATGTATCGTAATAAAGGAACAGCTGCGGCGACGTTACTCAACCCGAAACGGGGTTACATGGTTTATTTCGACGCCGCGTATGCATTTTGCCGAGAGCTGCTCCTTGAAGAAGAACTTCACGCGTGATTCCGATCGAGGAGATAGAACGAATTTTTTTGCGCCGCGATATAGGACGATTATCGAATCTGTTGCGGCTGCGATCGTTTACTCGGCCGATTATGATTACGCGAATTGAGTAGGTCGAGGTTATTTATTAACGCGAGTTTCAAGGAAATCGTTGCGCTTTAGAATCGAAGCTGTATTTTAGCTGTATACGGTAATGTCTCCCTTATTGTCGCTGAGATTGCGCAGAAAAATGGACAATTTGGGAAGAGGAGATGCGATTATTCGAGCTTTGCGGTTTGCTTTTATAGTCACGAATTGTCAACGATTATAAAAATGTATAAATAAATGTGTCTCCTCTTGCCAAATTGTCCATTTCTGTGGACAATCTGAGCGTCAATTGGAGAGACATTAATGTAGCGCTCTATGTCGCAGCTATATCGCGATACGATTGCATCGAATCCGAAGAAGTCGACGCCTAAATTTTTCGCAATTCGCGCGGTACGAACAAATACAGTTCGTTCGACGATATTGGAATTTCGAAACTTGTGCCGGTCGAACGTCTTCGAAAAGTGTTCGGTTGGGAACCTCTCAAACAGACCGCGCTTACCACGCCGAATGCCGAGAGATAACATTATTTTGCTCTAGTTCCAGAAATATAGTGCACGCTCGATGCTATCGCACCGTGTAGGTCGAAGTAACATTATTTTCCTGAAGTATCTTCTTCGCGGGTTCTCATTAAACCGCATTCTTTCGTCTCGATGCTATGTTCTGCAATGAAGTAATCGTTTCGTGCGTAGACAATAGTGAACAAGTCGTCAAATTCTTGCTCTTCGATAAAAAATACTTTTCAAAGTCTGATCGCTTTAACGGGTTCACGTGAAAGCTGAATTTTTATCCGAATAGGAGCTGAATTTTTATTCGAATAGGAGTTGAATTTTTATTCAAACAGTAGTTGATTTTTCCTCGAAATAGGAGTCGACTTTTCCTTTAATTTCAACTTCCAAAATTAGAATCATTGTTGCGAGCTGGATATTCCCTTGAAATAGGAGTCGATTTTTCCTTTAATTTCAACTTTCAACATTAGAATCATTGTTGCGAGCCGCAATCCAGCCGATCGAAGGAACGTTAATCAGTTTTCGTTCTGGCCGGTGACCAGCATCATTAACGAGCGCCGAGGTGTTTTATTAAGCGTTGCCGATCGGTGGACAGATTAATTTTCTGATGCACGGTTGCTAGCAACTGAACGACGCATCGCTCCGCGCGGGTAGATGAGTAAACTTTGGAGAAAAACCATAAAATTCTCTGTCATCCATCAGCTCGCGTCCGCGCGCGGCTTGCATCAGACCAACGACATTACAGTTTTTTGTCGCATCTTCTAAAATAGCCGGGATTCTCCCAAGAAAAGTACGCAATGGTCTAAATCCACGGTATTATGTAGCTCGGAATGCAGTCCTCGATTACCGTCTCACGACCTCGCTTCACGTTGTTTCGGTGCGGCGTCGCGAATCTGGATGCAACTTTTTGCACCGCAAATAATCACCTGTCCACAATGTTGCTTTAATTGCAGCGTCATACGCAGGTGCCTCTTACCCAGGTTGTCCAGGTTGAAAGGTTCTACCCGCTGATGCAACGCGTGGCGCCTTTATCGCGTCTCGAAAAGCGCATTGGATAATCAAGGGTAAACCTGAATGTTTCATCGCGGACGGATTGAGAAATGGGCCCGAAGTTACGCAAAGATTCCAAACAGACTCTTTCAACCTGACGAATTAAACCAGAACTCTTTTTCGTGAGTACAACATTGATACACAGCTCGACAGAGTCTTCGATTGCGTTTGCGACATAGCTATCGATTGTTTAAATAACTAGAGACACGTATGTGCTTTGGCGTACTAATTATTTTAAGCTGCTAAAAAATCCTCACCTGCAGGAGATTATTATTATTAATTATTTATTATTATTTATTATTTATTATTATTATTATTGTTATCATCATTACTATTATTATTATTATCATTACTATTATTATTATTATTATTATTAATCTAAACTTTCATCGGTCTTCTGAGATTCGAGTGAATATTTTTGTGTTACAATAGCACTCGATTAATTGTGTGCTGGATTCTTCTCGATCTTCATTATTTAGAGTTTCGATCATTCCAAATATTATAATAATAATGGGACTATATAAAAGGACCTCGATTAATCCTGGACCTATCATCTTATACTATTATAAATATATAATATACTATAATAATATATAATAATATACTATATATTATTATTACATTATTATACTATATATCCAAGCATTCTAATAATAATGGGAGTATATAGAAGGACCACGATTAATCCTGGACCAATCATCTTATACTATTATAAATATATAATATACTATAATAATAATAATAATAATAATAATAATAATAATAATAATAATAATAATAATAATA